AAAAACGCTTTACAAGACATGGTAGTTTTTTTGGGGTGAGGTGGGGCGAAAACCACTACAAGACATGGTCGTTTTTTGGGGGGCTAAAAATGCCTGCGTATACATGGTCGTTTTTTGGGGTTGGGGGGCGAAAACACCTGAGTATACATGGTGATTTTTTTCAGTATAAAAAAACCTTACTATACATGGTCGTTTTGCAGTGGGGAGGGGGGCGCTAAAAAGGCTTTACCAGACATGGTCGTTTTTTGGGGGGCTAAAAATGCCTGCCTATACATGGTCGTTTTGCAGTGGGGAGGGGGGCGCTAAAAAGGCTTTACCAGACATGGTCGTTTTTTGGGGGGCTAAAAATGCCTGCCTATACATGGTCGTTTTGCAGTGGGGAGGGGGGCGCTAAAAAGGCTTTACCAGACATGGTCGTTTTTTGGGGGGCTAAAAATGCCTGCCTATACATGGTCGTTTTGCAGTGGGGAGGGGGGCGCTAAAAAGGCTTTACCAGACATGGTCGTTTTTTTGGTGGGGCTAATAACGCCTTGGTATACATGGTTGATTTTTCTGTTCAAAAAAAAAACGCCTTGGTCATTTTTTTTTTGGGCAAAAAATGCCTTACGATACGTGGTGGGTTTTTTTTTTTTTTTTTGGGCCAAAAAACGTCTGATTCCGCTCCGGCGATTGCGCTCTGTTCCCACGAGTTTGAACCAACGGCGACTATTTACAATGATCACATCCTACCGAGAAGGTGACAAAATGGACGGACGGCTTTTGAAGGACAGTTTCAACATTTTAATGCCAATTGAAGTGGCTCGAACGCATTTGGAGGATCGTTGACGTCCAGTTGGGGAAGCAGCGCTTTGGTGAGTGTGGGCGGCGTGAAGCGTCTCTTCTCTCCTTTTTAATGACTTACGGCCGGCGGCCGGTAGGCGAGTCGCTCCTGCAATGGCACGGAAACAACGGCGACAAACTCAGTGGCGGGGCGCGCTGTTTGCAAAACCAAGTCGGCAAAAGCAAAACAACTCCTACCCTGATTTCCCAGCGGAGTTCCCGGTGGTCTCGCTCTCCGGGGAGCTTGAGCTGGTCCCACAGCTGCTTGTAGTGGAAATACCTGGGGGGGGGGGACCATAGTTGGCCGTCTTTTACTCCAGGACTGACCGGCGGGAGTCTCGAGCGCTCACCTGGCCACCGGGTCCATCTTCTTGATCGTCTGCTGCGTCATGAGCGGTCGGATGACTGAAACGACACGGGGGTGACGATTGATGACCATGATGGGGAAAAGATTGGCCTTTTTGACGAGAACAAGCGGCGGGACTTACAGGATTTGGGTTTTGCGCGGAAGTCGCTCTCGCTTCTCGATCGCGTCTGGAATCAAAAACGACGGCGCCTTTTAGACGACCGTTCCATTCGGATTTATTGGGAAAGATCTATTTTGGATAGAACCCGTACCATAGAGGTGCTGAGGGAAACTCCCTCCACGGAGTCACTCAGGACGCCGGCGTGGTGGTTTTCCGCCTCGCCTAAGCGCAGCTGGGACAGGCGATCGGGCAGCGAAGCGGAGCCATCTTCTTGGCTGTAGATGGATTCGTCGCAGACCAGCGAGCGTCCTTCGCGCTTCCTGCTCGACGGGCGAAAGAAAAGAAGCCTTCAGCGAGCGGCAGGGAAACGCGCTCGTTATCATCGGCCCGCCGAGTGCGTCCGCTCACCGCAGGACTTTCCTCTTGATGAAGCGTCTGCCGAAGCGGTCGCCTTTCTCTTCGGTGTAGGCGGGCGGTCCGGGCTCCCCCCTGTCACCGGCGGACGTGACGGGCGCGTCGTCGGGCCCGCCGCCGTTTTGAATCAGCCGCTCCAGATCTGGAAAGAGGGGATTCTCATGATCGGAACGCGCACAAAATGGCGGCCGGTCTTCGGGCTTTCTTCTAAATTCACCGCGTCAATTGAGCCGTTGCTTTTTGCTACATTTCGAGCACGGGTGTCAAACTAAAGGCCCGGGGGCCAGATCCGGCCCGCCGCGTCATTTTACGTAGCTCCCGAAATAGAAAAAAAAAAAAAAGTCTTCGGGACCGGTGCGTAACACTGAAAAGGAAGTCTGCCATTTTGGTTTGGGGCGGCAGCCGATGATGCTCGCGCATGGACGAATTTGCCGGACCGACGTTTCGGCTCGCAACGTTCATTTCCCAAAAATCTCGGTTGGCGTCGTCGGACGTGCGACGCGCGAGTCACCTCGCTTGAACTCTCGCAGTCTGCGGTCGGGGACGTCGGCGTATCCCAGCAGCGCCAGCTGCTGCCGGATCTCCTCTTCGGAGAAGTCCAGGTTGTCCATGGAGTCGGGTCGGCGCCTATTCGTCAGGGCCAGCTGCGATTCCTAACGGCGACAAAAAAAAGCATTTCATTGTTGTCCCTCGACAGTGCAGTAATCCCTCGCTATTTCGCAGCTTGGGTGCATCGCGGATTTTCATTTTTTAAAAAAAAAAGAAATCAATCATTGTTGTCCCTCGACAGTGCAGTAATCCCTCGCTATTTCGCAGCTTGGGTGCATCGCGGATTTTAATTTTTTAAAAAAAAAGAAATCAATTTAAGTCCGCGAGAAGCAGCGAAAGTCAGCAAAACAGCGAGTCACATCGAGCAACATGTACTCAATGGATATGTTGACTGTGTTTTGTTCTTCATACACTAAGCCAACTTATACATGTTTAAATCTATTCGTATACGGCCTTAAAATCAAATCACATTGACAACAAAGCCCGACGAGTTTCGCTCACCAACTTATACATGTTTAAATCTATTCGTATACGGCTTTAAAATCACATTCACAACAAAGCCCAACGAGTTTCGCTCACCCCCCAAAGCGGCGCGTCCGCGTTCAAGAGAGACCGCGAACAAGCACGTTGAGCGCGAGGTGTCGTTTAAATAAAAATAAAACAAAAACAAAACAAAAAAAAACGTTCTCTTCTGTTGTTCCTGTTCAATTCCGTCGTGCGGCTGAAACGTCGATGCGGCCGTTCAACGGAACTGGCTTTTAAAAAAGGACGCTTCTTCTTCTTCTACGCGTTCTCATTCTTCTTCGGCGAGGAGCACCGCGCAGGTCCTCCACCGCCAACTAGTGGCAGGAGATGTATGGAGCATGTGAGTGTCGTTTTGTACTGTTCAGTGCACACAGCACACATTCGATTGGATTTGATCATCTTAGATGGATTCGTTTTCATACAGTGACATTTGACTTTATTATTTGGAGTGCTTTACCGGGCCGAAAAATTCACCAAATATCGCAGGCGTTTTCGTCTAAGTTTAAATTTAAATTTGGTACAATACTTTGCCCAGAAATGAGCCCATCGCAGAATCGTTTGAAAATGCACACTTGACAATTTACTTCGTCACGAGAAAATGGAGCAGACACGTGTCCTCTGAGTCGACCCACAAAAAAGTCTCAAGAATCGATGCCTCAAAAAGACACCGGGATGTGTCCCATTGTTGCTTCGTTTTGGTTCACCAAATGCACACTCGTCTTCTCGCGTTTGTCCAGCTGCCACTAAATTGGAACCACTTTCTCAAGGGAACGCTAAAAAAAAGACACATTTGAGATCTCACCTGTGCGTGTGGATCAAGTTTGACTCGCTCGCCCAGAAATGGTCACGTGTCGCAGAATTTTGGGGGGATAATGTGGCCCCTGAAGCCGCCGGTATCCGTGTCTCCGTGAGTAGACCAAACCAAAAAGTCCCCAAAAAGTCTCTCGTCTTGACTCAAAGTGGCTTTTGTTTTGGTTCAGTTTCCAAAAACTTTTCCCCAGCCCCGAAAGCCAGTTTCACTTCACACGGCAAAATTTGGCAGGCATGACAATCGTGGCTCGATCCGCCCAAAAGACACGGGAAGTCTGTTGTATTTTGGCTCACGCTGGTCTTTATGGGGTCCGTTTCCAGGAACCCTTCATCCACGGCTGGAAATTGTAGCGGGGGATGCCTGAAGTCATCTTTGCTCAAAGGGGTCTTCACCAACAACCTCCCCCTCGAAAATTGGAGCCCCAGAGACACGAGGGAGACGAGCCTGCTCCAATGAAAAAGATGTCGCTGGATCGAAGAACGTGGAGATGGTTTTATTTCATATTTATATATGATATACATTATTATTATTATTATTATATATCATTTATAATTATTTATTTATATTTCTTGCAAATTTCTTCATTGCGGGACAAATAAACGTTTTCCTATCTTATCTTATTCGTCTGAAAAGGGCAACGTTTCCGCTTTTCATTCGCAAAGTGCAGAGTCGAAGCACCAGCCAAGAATAATCCCATTGCAAAACAATGAAAACCATTCAAGTTTTCCATTTTGGAATGGGAATGAGGCGCTTTCTTTCGCGGTGGCGGCGGCGGCGCCCTAGCAGTGGGGGTGGAGTTGCATTTCAGCCCCCTTCAGGCGGAGCCCCTCCCAGCGTTCGTTCGGGGATGGGGGCCAGTCCGACAGGTGGCCCGTTCTTGAGTAATTGTCACTGTACGGGAAAAGGGGGTGCACGGTCAGTCCCGGCAAGACCATGGATCTGTCCGGGAGCTGCCGCCTGCTCCTCCTGCTGCAAGCGCTTCTCATCGCCTCCGCTCAGGTGAGCCTCTCTTCTTTTCCGCTTCTGGCCAAAGTCGCCGCTCGGCCCCAGAAATCGCCGCTCGAGCTCGTCCTTCTGAGCGCGGAGAGAGGGACCGAGAGACGGGCGCCAAGCCCCACCCGCCGCTCGTGTCGTTTTTCTCGGGACTCAGGTCGCGAAACGGCGGGATGCTTTGACCACAAACGTGATGCTTTGACCACAAACGTCTTTTCAGCGCAACGTTTGCGCGATGGTGAGGCGGCTTGCGGCGAAGACGACGTGTCCGGCCGAATAGAAGACCTCCGTACTCGACGCTGGGAGAGCCGACCGTTGCCTTCTGCATTCAAGATGCTTTTGCGGCAGCCCCTCCCCCGGTCGGGAGCTCAAATGCATGTTCTATGGGGTTCGGGTCGGGCCAGGGGCGTATTTTTGACGGGCGGGCTAGCGCGTCCCGGCTGACTCGACATTTTTTTTTTGTCCATACGGCAACAATCCATCCGTTCAATGTTCTCTTCAATTCCAGTTCAAGTGTTGAGATGATTCACTCGGCACATCGTAATCCTCGAGAAGGAGTTGAATGACTCGCTCGCTCGGGAAAAACGGGAGCCTTTTCTCCAGTTCGCACTTTTTTAGTCGGTGAGTGGCGGGAGCCTCAAAGATCGAGGCCGGCGGTCTTCAGGCCGGACCCCTTTTGATGGCCTGCGCGCCGGACCGCTACCGGTATCGCCACATATGCATCCAAATGTGCGAGTCATCGCGTTCGCGCGCGGCGCCGATCGCTAATCTCGGCACACGACGACCGACTGAGCCGAGATCAGCCGAACAAAAGGGCGTCTGTGCGGAGCCAACGTGTCCGCTGATTCTTTTGCTTTG